ATACACTGAAAAGCGAAATTACTTATATTATTCAGAGATTGCTGTTTCCAATTAGTTTGAAAAAGCTGAGTTCTTGTACGTGTTTAAATCAAGTGTTTTAGAAGGCCTACATAATGCCACATTTTGGTGTTACGGTCTTTATTGGCATGGTGAAATGAGGAAAACAGTGTTTAAAAGAGTGAGTCAGTATTACATAATCTATGATCGTATCCCGGCTTCTAACAGTCACCACCCAAAAATTCATCATTTACATGAGAAATTTTGCTAGAATTTTAAAATAGAAACACTAATTTTTGTTGGTAAACTTTTCTTATTTTTGGCGTGATTCTTTGACTCCACTTTATACTAAAACTGAGAAGTATTTTAGTCTTTCCAGCAATACAATCAATACAATTTTAAACTATGTCAGGCGAAAAAATCACTGAACAGAGATTGCAGAAAGAATTCGTTTACATGATTGCCAGTCACATGAAAGCAGCAAAAAATCTACAAAGACCATTTCTGATTGAAGGTTTCACTTTCATCACATCATGTTATAAAATGACATGCTGAAATGTCGACAAATTATCGAAAACGGGACACATACGTAATTTACACAAAATTTTTTAAGTCAGTCGCGAGTTCACAAAATTGTGAAAGTAACAAATTGTTAATTACTGATCATCCTGCAAAGGTTCTGATAAGATGTCATCAAATAACATTTGTCTGTATTTTTATGCAAAAGAATTATGATTACGGTTGAAAAAAACATTAAATTTTTGTGTGGTTTTCCAAAAAACTATAGAACTGCTGGGTATTTTCAAAGGCCAGTTTTATTATTAAGGAACAAGTCTAAAACAAGAATCAAGCAGAATACTGATTAAAAATGTTGAGAAAATATCATGTTGAAAATATCAAATATTATTTGATAACTACACAATTATAATAGGAATTATTGCTAACTTATCTGCTGCTTTTAATGAAATACTTACTAATCAGTCGTAGACAGCTGACAAAAATAGCAAAAAATGATTTTTTAGTTTTTTTGAATAATTTAAGCAAAAGACGCTACGATACGGTAGATAACTATAAGCATTACCACCAGTTTCCGCTTTAAGAAAATATTTATGCATTTAAAAAAGTTAAAATCAGCGTACCCTAAAAATCATAAACACATTCTGATCTATTTCAATAAGGTTATATTTTTTTCAAAATTATCTAGTTTTATTGAAACCTTTCAACGTTTTGGTTACTCAGAACTAAAATTTTCTACAGTAAATTTTTTTGTCTGCGCTGCAAATTTGAAACGTTTAGCATCTTTTAGAGCTTAACTGATGCTGGTCGTTATGTGTGTAAAGAGTTCGTCTTTTGATGTCAACTGGTTGTCTTTTAAATACTAAAATCTCCTTAACCCGTATTTAAAAAATTTTACTTCTTTAGTCATAATTGAACAAAAAGTAGCGAAAAATTTTACCAGTTTCATTTAACGTAAGTACAAACAGAAAATAGCCATTACTCACATCAGTGTAGTTTCGCTTTTAAAGCAGCAGTTTAATTTTGATGAAGAGCGTTGGTCAACTTATGGGATTTAAATATTCATTTATCTCTCAATTTGCTTCAATGAAAATATCTAAACTAAGCAAAATTTTTATTTCTGAAATGCCGTCAACGAAACGGACAATATTTTTACTGAGGTTAGATCACTTACCTAGAATGTCTTCTATTTTGCCGATATCAGCTGAATTTTATTGAAGACTATAAAAGACAAAGAGATGACGGCAAACCGATAAAGAAGAGTCGGCAAACTCAAGAGAGATATCGTTACGTAGTGCTGTCGTTGCGTTTTCGTTGTACGACTTATTGCTGATCTAATATCTGCCTTTCAGCCACATAGCTAACACCTTTTTCACATATCTTTTTCATAAAACTATCAATTCCACCCGTTTTTCGAAATGTTTTTCGTTTTGAAACCATTATAAAGTTTTGTTCTGTTAAGTTTTCTCCAAAAAATGATTTAGACCGGACGTTTTCTGATCAACTTTTTTATTATCACCTCTACACGGTTCATAATCTGCAACATGCTGAAGCTTGTTTACTGGTTTTTTATTAAGCAGTTTCAGATGCTTTTGAGGTGGATATTACTAGGACTCTTTTTTGGTGCGATTATTTCCCGCGTTTGGCCAATCCTTCGTGAAGCAGAAATTAAGTTCTTTGGACATTTCGATACGACGTTCGTTTTTCACCTTCTGGTTCAAAAAAATATATATATATATATTCAGTGGCAAATGCAGTTTGAAAGTCAAGGTTTTTAATTACTACACAAACCTTTTACAAAACTTTATTGAAAAAATGTTTCTTAAAGTGTATACCTTATTTACCACCAAGCATAAACACTTAAGTTCACATCGTTATACAAAAGAATCACTGCCACTTTGAGTAGGAAAGTGCGAGCAGAACTATTTACAACCGCAATTTACTTAACTACGACTGCCAGCGATCAGTATGCTTTGATCTTCTGCGACAGAAATCTTTAAAGACAAAATCACTATTTTCTAAACTGAAAGCATTAATATTCCTAAAAGCAGCATTCAAAATCTTCAATTTCTTTCGAATTCACAGTAAAACTTACCATAGACATCGACAGATTACAGCTTAATGGAGGTTTTTTGTGACACCCAAGACGAATAGTGAAAGGAGATTCACCCCACAAAATTCATATTCACAAGTCACAGATTTAAACAAAAAAAACCTGAATGGTTCTCCTCACTTAATGTAGAAATATAATTAGAAACCAAACTAGCGGTTTTCAAAGCGTTTGAAAATTATAAGACGCACTTTTAAGTTTCACAAATAACTTAAAATAAACAAACTTTTCTTTGTTGATAAAATTGGGTTGCGCAAAATGCTTTACGCTCTCAAGATTCTAAACTTCTCCATGATCTCTGTCTCTCGGTAAAATCAATGTTTCTTATCAAAAGCTAGTTGTATTTAGTTCAAGGTTTTCAACAAGAAAAATTGAAATTTGAGGAAATAACCGAAATCAACATGAGCCCAAATGCTTCAAAAAACTCGACAGAGAAGCTAAAGTGTAGACATAACTATCGTTTCTTAAAGGAAACGGTCAGAGAAGCCTAGTTTTAAACTTTACGTTTCTGTAAACCACACAAGTGTTGTCTGTAGAAAGTCTCTTTCCAAAATTGAAATTGTTTTTTACTGCTTATGCTTTCTAAAAAAAAATAAAAAAAACTGAACATGACTAACGAAAATGAAATGATAAAACTTATCAAAAAATTCTTCTTCCTCGTTTACTCGGATTTTTTTCAGGTCTTATGGTAACTACCGTCTAAATATAATGTTTAGCAAAAACATGGGAAAGGTCGAACGGCGTTTCCAAGCACTTGAGGAAGAAACGAGAGAACTTAAAGCACTTTTGGAGAGCCTAGATGTAATAGAGCCGAGAAATGTTGTCAGTAGTGTTCAAGAAGTTGCACTCAAAGATCTTGCATTTGTGACAGCTGCAACTCGAGATCATTTCGATGAAGCCTACAAGTGCATTTTTTAAAGAGACTGCGATACTTCATAAGGCTCAAGAAAAAACAACTTCTAAGCTAATTCCACAAACCATGAAAAATTTTCTGGAAAATACAGATAAGGTTCAAGAATGCTGTGTATCGTGATGAATTATGCTTAATAACTCTTGAAAAAAAGCAAATTTACGAGAAAATTGATTCACCTTCACAACAGGGTAAGAAGAATGAAACTGCAAAATGTGAAAATTCCGATTTTACTTTAGTTTAAAAAGAAAGTATACGCGTTTTTGTGCTGCATCCTCTAAACTTTCAAAAACGTGATTAAGGCAAACAGTACTTTTATGAGGTTGTGAATGAATTCTCTATTGTACACTGAGCTCTTGCCTGCGTGAAAAACTGGAAGAGCACATCTTCTTTCGTATTTCAGTTCTTTACTCCTAGGTCTCAATGTTCTAGATTTCAGCTGCTGTGTAGCTTTCCAAGGTCTCGGCTTTTTCATGTGATAGTCACGGTTTTGAGCAATAAGCATGGCAGTTCTTAGAAATAATCATCGGGTAGCCAAGAAAAAGGTTTAGGAGAAAAACTTTAAGGAGAACTTAGTACCTACTCGTTCTGTTACTTGCATTACTCTAGGGAGAAAAGAGAACTTTTCTGGATTTGTCGTGCTAGTAATCTAAGTTTGGATCTTTCTTTATTACAATTGTCGTTCACATTCTATATTATAAATGAAGGTTAATCTAAAAAAATTATTTGAAATGGCGAGCTTAAATGATTTGAGCTTAATTTGATACAAAACAAGCATTTTTCAGCTGTGATTAAGAGTAAAGAATAGAACAAAACTGGAAGAAGACTATTCATTTGAGCGTTTTTAGGGTTCTTTGCTCCACAATGATGAACTACAAAAGTCTGATAAATGGGAATCAGACGAAGCTGTATTTTTATATATTGGGAGATGCTCTGTCTCCAGAAGAAAGAAATTTTGTAAACAAGCGCTGTCCT